CAGAGAATGGGAATCAAGAGTACGGTTCCTAGTTCAAGATACAAATGCTAATTCAAAGGTAGACAGCCCTTGAAAAGATGCCCTGAAAAAATAATATTTCCGATCCACGGTCCCTGAAGAAGAAAATACTGCTGAAATGTCGGCCACCTAAGCTCCGCAACATCTGCTTGAAGGCAGTGTCCGCGTTCAGTTGAGATTTCCCTCTCCTTTCGTGAGCAGGTAGCCAGGTTCGCAGAGGCAGCGATTACACCACTTTTACGGCGCAAAAACGAGTGAGGAGGCCCACGATACCGTCGTTCCCTCTCATTGGCCCAACCCCCTATCATTGGCACCGCCCACCGTTCATTTCTAATGGTTGCCTGATGGTGCGGTTGTTCTGCTACTAACTCTCTCCACTTCGAATGGTGAGAGTGAGGTGATAAGGGAAACAGCTGATACCAACAAGTGAGAACTCGTGCGACCACAGCCTCTTTTCGCCTTATGCACGTACAACCTCAGTTCGGCATGGGGTTCTATATGGGACATTTCCGGCGGGTTTTTCTGCTTTTTTTCTTCACTGCTGGATCATTTGCTACCTTGCTATTACTATCTGAGCCGCATAACTCATCATATTTGAACGCGGGCTCAGCCTTCAAATAACATATCTCAATAGCTATGTAGAACAGTGATTGGTTCGGTCGTTCGAGCTTTTAAGATGCATTCCAAGAGAGAGGGCGTTAGTCTCCTCCTGTTGTATCTATGTTCAAGTTTAACTTGCAAAAGACAACCATTTGAATATCTTGTAGCTGAGTAGACCATGTACTCACATTACAATACGAAGTTTGAGTGTTGCCCACATGTCGTCTTGTTCGCTGCGAATGACGGGCGCGTCAGTGAGGCTGGGTTTGGCGAGCCGCCAACCCGCTCAGAAGCCTTAGAAGAGGGTAAGCGACAACAGTCTGTGGAAAACTGAGACTGATTCAACAGTATGATGTAATGTTATTGCTTGCTAAAAAAATCAGAAACGGTCAGCGCCGCGCTCAACCCATCCCCCTACATGCCCCATCACCACAGCGAACAAGACTCTATGCTAGATCGCGTTTAACCCATTGCGTACGCGGCGTTTTTGCGCTAACCGGCTCCTATGGCCGACGCCGTTTTATCGACGCGACTTGTGGCGCGCTGAGTATAAACACATAAGATTTTTATCTTATACATATAACATAAAAATATTGTACACACATCGTATTATGCATCACTTTATATGTAGACGTATGCTAAACGGGATTCAATATTGTTACGTGATAAAAGTGTAAAGCCGAAAAATGCGAAACTAGCCAAAAAAGCTTGATAAAATTAAGAAGGAATTGAAAAAGTGACGCAGTGTGCTTAGAAGCTGTTTTCACTCACACCATTTTAAGAATTTTCACAGTGGTGGTATAACCAGGAATTCGGTTTTATTGGTAAATGAGAAAAATAAACAAAGAATATAATAGTCGAGGTATTTCTCGGAAAATGTTAGTAACTTATCTCTTATTCAATCCCGCAGTTTTCCTCATACAAATTTTGTCACAGGAGACTTCAGGGATATGCCTACCCTTTTCAAATCAGTCTAACAGGATGCTAATACAGTTGTTCAAACGAAGCGTGCATTCATCGAGTGTGTCAGACGCGGCGAGAACGAGGAGGCAACTAGAGCTGCTGCACAGTGCAGTGCACCGCGGTGCGCAATGGGTAAGATGAAAATTTCTGGAACACAGCGAGTGCTGGAGCACATGCGTGGGCTCCTAACAGGTCACCATCAAATACTGTCCATGGGCTATTTATATACCAGTGTTCCTTAACCCCTTCATAATGACTTGCTAGAAACAGTTCCTAAGTGTTACTACGCTCGTGCTATGAACTTCGGGGCACCCCCTTTCAAAAAGGTCCCCTGGTACCTTATCAGCTGTTATCACGTCCTGCCACCCAGCAATAATGTTCCCATGCCCCTATCTAACTTCTTGGAACCCACATCCCGTCTTCGCTGTGGTCCGCGCTATGAAGCTGGGACCCTTCTCCTAAGGCCCCTTGTGGTATCTTATCAGCTGTTATCACTTTCTGTCACCCACCAATAATCCTCCCATCCTGTTCCCTATCTAACTTCTTGAAATCAACGTCCCATCGCTGCTGTGGCCGGGTTATTAATTAGGTAACCCTCCCTTTTTAAGGCTTTTTATGGTATCTTATCAGCTGCTATCACTTCCTGACACCCTGCAATAATGTTCCCATCTTGCCCCCTATTTTACAGTCCTCATCATTGCGGACCGGTGGGGCGTGGCAGTTGCGGCTGGATTAAGTGCGGTTTGGCAAAGTCGGTGTTTTGAAGCGAACAAGTGCATTACTGTATAATATCCTTCGTATTACTCGTTTTCTACCACTTTTTGTCGCATACGCGTTGCAACAAAAAGGCTGAGAAGGCTTCAAACAGTGTGCACGCTGACACGCCCCACCCGGTGCAATGATGAGGACTGTAGCTATCTTGAGCCAAACGTCACATGCTTTGTTGTGGCCGCGCTTATATTAATTTGCTGAGTTTGCCTTATAAGGCCCCTTATGGTATCTATCAACTGTTTATCATTTCTTCCTGCACCCACAACAATAGTGCTTCGCTGCGCTGACCCGCATGAATCTCTTATAAATTTGAGCCGCTTAATCGCTATTTTGAAGAAAGTTATGAATTTCCGCGTCAAACACACACACACCACAACACAACACGACAAAACTACCGCGGATTATATATACCATTTTCACTTTAAATTCGCCCTTTTTCAAACCAAATTCGTCCTTTTTCAAACCAAATTCGTCCTTTTTCAAACCAAATTCACCCTCACTCTTCATCAAGAACCACACTTATTAGGGCGGGCAACTCATCAACCAGATCACGCCAGACATCACTGCGAGCCCCGCCCCGACGGCCACGCCCACTTGTCAGCGCGGACATAGATTCTCAAATCTTGTTTCATAACTTCTGCTTTTGCTGTTTCCCACAAACACTTTGACTGGAAACCACCGTGCATTCACACATGGCCGACTCCGCCCATTCTCTAAAGGGTTTGGCACTCTAGGCTGACCACGCCCACTGGCTTTTCGCGGAATTTCGATGTTTTTTCAAAATTTTTGCAATTTAGGGTTGCTGCGTGAAGCCCCGCCCTTTGTGAGATGCTCCGCCCACTTTGAATAAGCCCCGCCCACTTTTCAAAAATGGTGCAGATCGGCAGTATAGAGACTTGGCTTGCATGTTAGTGTATTGCTGATCATTCGGAATAAACTTTGCCGGATTTTCTTGTTCCGAGTGACGTACGAGACCCTAACATGCAAGCCAAGTCTCTATACTGCCGATCTGCACCATTTTTGAAAAGTGGGCGGGGCTTATTCAAAGTGGGCGGAGCATCTCACAAAGGGCGGGGCTTCACGCAGCAACCCTAAATTGCAAAAAATTTTGAAAAACAAAAAACATCGAAATTCCGCGAAAAGCCAGTGGGCGTGGTCAGCCTAGAGTGCCAAACCCTTTAGAGAATGGGCGGAGTCGGCCATGTGTGAATGCACGGTGGTTTCCAGTCAAAGTGTTTGTGGGAAACAGCAAGCAGAAGTTATGAAACAAGATTTGAGAATCTATGTCCGCGCTGACAAGTGGGCGTGGCCGTCGGGGCGGGGCTCGCAGTGATGTCTGGCGTGATCTGGTTGATGAGTTGCCCGCCCTAATAAGTGTGGTTCTTGATGAAGAGTGAGGGTGAATTTGGTTTGAAAAAGGACGAATTTGGTTTGAAAAAGGACGAATTTGGTTTGAAAAAGGACGAATTTGGTTTGAAAAAGGACGAATTTAAAGTGAAAATGGTATATATAGTAGGATATCAAGGATCTCATTGTTTGTTTCAGACAACGAGTGGAGTTATGTCGATGCCGATCATTGGGGCGGCACTTGCAGCACAGGTAGACAGCAGTCACCAATTAATTTGAACAGCAGTGAGTTAAATATGTAATATTACACTAATTTTGAATTGTTACCGTCAGCTGCTAACGATCATTTTCACTGCGTTTTATAATAGTGAACGCTAGACAGGGGTAAGCTAGGAAAGTGTCGCTGTTCTCGAGAGATATTTCATATCGAAATTGGATTTCTCCAACTTACTATCCCAAAAACTTGAAAAAGCTCTTGTCAGGTATAACTTTACCCTAGGTGTCACTCAAGGCCATGATTACGAATATGACAACATTCTAGTTTGTCACCGGCGACATACTAACCCAATAGGCGCCGAATTGGCTCCCAGGAGTTTTGTTCCACTGAATTCCGGCACAAACTTTTATGAAATGGGTCATTTTTGCATACTCTTCACAAATATATCAGATTCCAACTCGCTTCTAAACAACCGAAACGAGTGTGTATCCATTACGAATGATCTACTACCGTTCATGGAACATTGCGAGTTGCATACATGATAAGCGAATTCGTGCGTCCTGATAAAGGAGAGTAACAATCATTCGCTTATCCGTACTAACTACTAACCTGTTGTGGTGGAACGCGGTGAGCTTATTTTTCAACTTTTGGGTATTTTTGCATAATCCTGAGATGACGTCAGAAATGCTAGAAGGGACAAGGCGTTTGGTGGGATAGCGTGCAATTCTCAAGCTTTGAGCCATGTTTAGGCCTTTGACGACGACGAACAGGTCGAAACGTTGGCCGAATAAAGTGTTGCCACCTACAAACCTCGTTGGCAAAACAGAAGAACAAAACATCGTCAACAATGCCGAGGTTTCAAGATGAGAGGAGTTGGAATCTACAAATATATCACTTCTGTTCTGACGCTGGCGGCAAAGGGCGCCTAATCAGAGACACAATATTGTCTAGCTTATTCCGTGTTACGAGCGATACTCTACGCTGCCAAATGCAGGCATTTGACGAAAATTAGCGCAGTATGCTTGAAAAAGGTGGAGTAGTGGAATCAGTATGGCAGCAGGTCCCGCCAGGTTACAACTGCAATACTGAGAGTTCGCACTGCGAATCACTGAGCTTTTCCCAACCAAAGTTACCAACTTTATTACAGGAAGAGTTGGCAAAGCAATAGGCCTGTCTCTCGTTCGCACTTACTTTACAACGCTTCTGGGATACAAAACCTGGACTTAAGTGCATGGCTTACTGTGCAGTGCAATTGCAGCAATTGCAGCCAAACCTTAACTGCTGTCATGTTCAGCTGCTCTGTACCACACTGCATATCTCAGCGATGGAGGAGGCCTGACGCGCACTTCAGATTAAATGTAGGATACGTGGTTCGTGGGATATTTCCATGTGGTACAAGTGCTGCCCCACCTTAGGCTAGACAAAGTCAGGGTTGCAGTTTTGAAACTGCAATATTCCTCCACATGCGCAGCTGCTTCCGCGTAAATGAAGTACCAGCCACAGACTATACACCTGTGAGATATGGAGTGTACGTGACCATACAAAATGAAAGTATTATCATTCCTTGGCATGTCATATCGTTTGCATTATTGCCCGGCACACTGGCAAAACACACTGGCACACTCAAAGAATGCTCTTCAACCCCCCCCCCCCACTTCTCCTCCTTGAATGGAATCTCGCCCATCTGATTCTCCATTTCTTTTATGATTTAATCCACTGCAGTGCTCCAGGGATCCGAATTCCTACCGTACCAAACCTACTATTGCACAACGTTCAAAAAAAGACAAGAGCATGAAATATCAAGACCGCCCGTATCTCTTCATGAAGAGCAATTTCTATGCTGTGAAGAATTGCGTCCATCTTAAAATTTGTGATTCTAGGCGTTGCGGAGAGCGTGGAATGGAAACCACTGGAATTCAAGAACTATGGATCAGGGATCGTAACCGTTAGAAATACTGGACATTCAGGTTCAATTTCGAGTATAACTCATTTGGGAGTCGATCAAGACAATCTTAATTTCGCCGCTCCGTCGCGCACGGCGAAGTACGTAGCATTTCCGTGACATGCATTAGCTTGGCGATGGGAGCACCAGATTTTTAGTAGACTAACCATAGACGTCGTGGACATCTATTTTATTCTTTGGTCATACACTGCCCATTCTACGACCTGGAAACGTCGTCATTGCGGACCCGACATCACACTCGACGCCCACTAGAGCGGTAAATTACGAATGTCTTGTCACACACCTAGTTCGTTTCGCTCTCCCTCATGAATAAGGCGGACGGATTTCAGCAGAAGTGGATGGCTTCCCAGATTGGGTCAAAAGGCCATATGTCACAGGCAAGTTCTAACATTTCATTGCTCTAACTGGTATGTTAATTTCCTTCAATTTATTATAGCCGTGTCAGTGAATACGGTCTTCTTCATTCAGGTGGGAACCTACCTGGGAAGTACTACCTTCAACAGCTTCATCTACACTGGGGTGACAGTGACAGCACTGGAAGTGAGAACACTATCGATGGAAGGCAATTTTCAATGGAGGTGCGTCGTAGGTAAAGAGACCAGTGAGAAGCAGTACCAAGCCAACCACTTTCATTATTTTATGAGTGCCATCCTGATGAGTTGGAGATTTGCGGATTTCGCTCAACTTTACATTGACTGACGCAGCCTTTGAAACAAAAGCAAGAGTTCTCCCTGTCCTCTTCCCTGAAAAAAAGAAACATCGTCGAAAACACACTGATTAAGACTCTCGTTGTTGCAGTGCAGTTGATTCCAGGCGAGAGGCAAGGTTCGTCCAAATTTATGAGAGCGAAACAAGACGGTAGACAACGCGGGGGCGGATCCACTTGCGCTCGGGTGGAACCATTGGGCGACGTTGCACCCTCGTTGTCCACTGCGACCAACACCGCCTTTCCCTACACTTGAATTTCTTGTAGGTAGCTGCAAAATGTACCCAAAAAAGGGTTTATAGATAAAAAGGATTCACAGGATCACCTGTATTACCTGTGCTCCCGTTGATCATCGAGTTCCTCGAGCAGGTGCCAGTAATGTCTCCAATCGTCCCTGCAACCCTGCTAGAGTTGCCCAGTGGATTATAGATGCTTGCAGAGCACGATGAACTTCATACCAATCGCTGAGAGTTTTCACAAAAAAGTGTGACCACGGAGTAGGGCGTCATCAGATGTTTTCGTGGAATCCATTCGGTAATCGCCCTGGTCCAGCGGTCGTCCTCGAAACGCATGACGTGCCGGCCCACCTGATCTTCGAAACCTTGGCAAAGCGGCGGCGTCTCTGATCTTCGATCGTCGGCGGAGTGCGGAGCTCCGGATTCTCTCTTTCTCTTGCGGAAATTTTGATCATCGCGCATTAATAGCGCGTTAAATTACGCTATCCGCATGCTCATCCTGCTTCCCAAAGTCCAAATCCCGAGGCGTTAGTGAAGTAGGAAGAACGAGTTTGAAGTGGTGGCCATGGAGTTGTAGGCTCTTCGTTTTCTCCGGTACTCCATCGATGTTCTTGAAATATATCGATATCGCCAGCAAAGCGGAGGTGGTGTAGTTGCCAGCCATCGATTTTCTTTCCCATGTCTTCCCGCAGTTGACGCATGATTCGCACGTTTTTGAGAGAGGCGCTGAAGAGCTTGGGCGAGATGGTGTCGCCCTGTCGGACCCCTCTCTTCACATCAATGATGATCTCCTTGTAGAATGGTGAGATCTTGGTCGTGATGCTGTAGAGCTGACGAAGAATGGTGACGTAGAAAAACCCTAGTTGCTCAGGAACAACCTGGTTGCCCAGGGCTTCGATAACCGCTTCTGTCTCAACGGAGTCGAAGGCTTTCTTCAAGTCGATAAACGTGAGACATAACGGCATCTTGTACTCTCGCGATACTTCGATGAGCTTCGTTACCGTGTGGATGTGATCGATCGTGCTGAATCCTCTTCGAAACCCTGCTTGCTCGCATGGCTGTCCTTCGTCTAGTGTTCTGCCAATCCTGTTCAGGATGACTCGTGTGAAAAGTTTGTAGACTAGACAGCAGGCAGATTGGGCGATAATTGCCAATGTCGTACAGGTCTCCCTTCTTGTACAGTAACACAGTCCCGCTGGTTTTTGCACAAAGTGGGCACCTGCACTTCGACAGTGCGTGAAGAGTCTCTTGAGAGTCTAGTAGGACATTATGAGGATAAGTTGTTTATACACGAACAAAATACGTCTTCGATGGCACAGATGTTCATCGACTAAATGAATCAACTTCACACGATCCATGGCATGTCCTTTCTGCTAACCTAGGTCACTCACTCCGGAGACAAGTAATAATAGAACTGCATAGGAGATACAAATTACACCAGAACGAATTTAGTGGGTAACTCTAGTGGATTCAGGCTCAAGAGCTGAGTTGAATTGTGCTTCTCCTGATAAGTAAAAATGCGGCTTACAGGCTCATTTGGTTCATTTCATAGAAGGCATGGACAAGACAGAAGCAGCAGGAGCTCAGAATAAAATCGCAGTGGTGGGTGCTTCTATCGTTTTTCCGCATTTTCCGACTAAAAAAAGAGGAAGGAAACGATTCTGAGCAAAAGTGAATTACTCATCATTTTAGATTGGAGTTCTTCTGCAAGCATCGTCCAGTGGAGTGGCATTACAGAACCTCGAGAACACCTTCACTGAAATAAGGACTCCAGGTATAATAGTTTGTGGGTCTCTAGGTTGGAGCGGAACTGGGAGCCATGATGTACAGTTTTCTGGAAAAAGCTGTTGCTAAGTACGGGTTAGAGAGCAACATTTAATAATCT